ATGGCAGCTATTGATTTGGAATTTGGAAATCATTTGTTAATGAGTTTGGTGCATGCGCGGGAGCTGTTTCTCGCAGTTACAGCATTTGTTTAGTGGTCCGTCGCTTATATGTTTGGGCAAGCAGAGAAATGCATCTCCCAGTAGACCCAATCCATGAGTGCTTGGGATTGAGCACGAACAGCACATGAACCACGCACGGCTTGATTCAAATTGCTCATGTTTGCAAATGCAAGAGGTGCGTCTCGCCATACATGATTGCTTGAGACCGAGCGCACGTGCTTACTGCATTTGGATTGGACAGACAAGGGCCAATGTTTTGGCGATTCAGAACAGTATACCTTCCTTGCCATACGCGAATCACCCAATTCTTGCGCAATATATGTATGTTTTTCGAGTGAGTATGAAATTACAGATCTTGTGTTTGCGCTCGCTAGCTGGTTTTCGTTTGCGTTTCTTGGGTTCTTTTTTCTTTTCTTGGCTGGTGGGGGTCAACTTTCCCAGGGCTATCTAAAGCTTTTTGTGTTCGACTCTAGCAGTTGTGCCGGGACAGTTGCCCTTTTCTGGTCCTTCTGGGGGGTGCTTTGGGGATTTACTTCTCTGTTCATCTTTTCTCTCGCCACTCGTTTAACGTCTCAAACGTTGTCAAACAGTTGTTGTGCCTGCATGGGAACCTGTTGGTATGGCTGTTTTTTGTTTCAGTAGCAGATTCTGAGCGTCTTACGAAGCGAGTCATTGGGTGGAAGTTTCTCCCGGGGACCAGACCTGTGGCATCAGTTCCGGGTTATTCTCTGCGTTCATTGTCGCTTGACCATGCTAGTCCACCTATCGCTTTTCCATATCCATTGCCGGTTTGTTTGCTTGATAGATTATAGTTTGGCTTGTGTGTGTGGCACAGGCGACTCGGCGGGGTTGTCGGGTATTTGAGAATGGGGGTTTGGTATATGAGAATGCGGGTTTGGGTATATGAGAATGGGGTTTTGGTTATATGAGAATGGGGATTTGGTAGATGAAATGGGTGTTTGGGTATATTGGGGAGATGTATTGTTGGAAGCGAGTAGTAACTGAACTGCGGAGGAATTCATTTCCGTGATTCATTTGGAAACAATGAACCTAATTCCTTTTCCCCAATGCTTAATCAGTGATCCGTGGCGGGATGGCCATTTGGATATTTCACTATTCAAATTTGCCAAACACGCCACAGAAGCTGATGAACTAATGGAATTTGAGTAATTAATGTTGTTTTATGAATAAATAATGATGTACAATGCATAAAACTCTGGTTTACAAGTTGTAACTGCTCTTTCTGTGCTGATCGCCAAGACAGAGAAAGTGCAAGATAAAGAAATTAGGACCGGAGAAGGGGGGGGGGAAGAAGGAGGGGGCTGCGTCAGGGTGTTGTTTTTACTCTTGTGTGTTTTATAAACGCCCACCCTCACACCCTTCTGTTTCCCGTCCTTGTGGCTTTCTGCTGCGGACCATTTCTATGTTTCATTTGGAAACAATGGACCTTCCTTTTCCCCAATGCTTAATCAGTGATCCGTGGCGGGATGGCCATTTGGATATTTTACTATTATACGAGTGTTGCGAAATCAATCACCCGCGTAGCGGGAGATTGATTTGTTAATCACGAGTATGATTATGCCATTAATAGTACGACTAAATTCGTTCTGTTACTTATTAATTATTTATCTTCTGTAATCAAACTGTTTAAGGGAAAGAAGCACAAAAATACAATTGTGTGAAATTCATTATAATTATTAAATTTTTGTCACGACAATTCTTAGTAAAATACTACAATATTTTGAATTAAATTTGTCATAATGAAATTAAGATATTTTAACTTCCGGGTATTATTTCCGGTATAATCACATGACAACATTGTTTGAATTTAATTAATTATTCAACGGTAAACACACAATTGCAACGCCATGTTTGCAATAACGTGTTCAATATAGTGAAGTTCTTTAATCTGAATCTAAGTCAAATATAACCGCTGGTTGTGTCTGGTTCGGTGTCTTCAGCTGGAAGAACAGGTACGGTAGGTCATTTTCGTCAGAAAATATATAATTTAAAATGTCAAAATTTTCAAAATTTGTGAATTTCTCCATTATGAGAATTTTACAGCCATAATGAAAATAAAATTCAAAGTTTGTGTCCTGAATGCTGAGTGGCTATAGTTGTTAATAATAGACGGACTTTCATTGACTGTAGGCAAGGGTGCAATTACTGCTCAGAAAAAAAGTGTGGAATAATGCTTAAATCGCACTTCTGTAAACCAATAAAATTGCAGTATTTGCCACTGATTACAGAAAATAAATAACTAATGAATAATTGTACCCCTCTCAACCAATCAGCATCCAGTAATTTTGTCATTTAATAATAAATTATGTTGGGGTCCAGTCATAATTATAGGGGGAGGGAGGGCTGCAGTGCAAATGAAATATACCATGCTCATTTTTTTCTGACCCTCCCCCAAAATGATGCACACTTTTGTCAGACCCCCCCCCCCCTTGCCAGCGTTTTTATGGTTCGTACCTTATAATCTAAATTGTCATTTTTGGTGTAAAATAAGTAATGGGACAAGCATACTGGTGTAAAACATTGTGTAGCCTAAATAATTAGAAAACCAGCTTTCAAAATGGTTGTTATAAGGCGCTGTTACACTATGCAATTCGTCTCGCAATTTTGTTGCAACACAAGTTGCACATCCCTCTTGCAACTAGTCTCGCAGTGTTAATACACTGAGTGGTTTCCAATTGACTTTTGACTGACAATATTGCGCCAAACTTTAGCACTCACGGTTTTTATACTATTTTTAAATATTATATTTCTTGGTGTAACATCTCTTGCAATGCAATCCTGAAATCGTTTTTCTTAACATTACAAGACAAGTTCCGAGACAAGTTGCTTAGTGTAACAGCGTTTTTACTCCGATTTCTATGCTGAACATATACGTAATAAACTATGGAAACTACGATTTATATAGGAACTTAAAAAGGTGAAATATTATGTGGGATACGATAAAGGCGAGAGATTGAAAATGACGTTTCGACCTAACAGTCTTCTTCCGCAGGGTTTTTTAAGGGGGAGGGGGGGGGGGGGG